GATCCGCTACCCACTCACTTTGACTTTAATGAAAACCAACTCTTATCCCATCTTCCATGTTGTCTACATTAGAAATCCATTCTATTATTTATGTACCAGGCAGCTTGTAACCAAGGGAAAAAATTTAAGACTGAACTTTTACTTGTCAAACTACTAATTACTTTAGAAGCTGAAAATGATATGATGATTTGAATAGGGAAGTAGAGGCTGAGGATCTTTTATGTGTTTTCAGGTTTCTGTGATAGCTGATGACATCCTTAAAAACGTGGAGTTCGATGCTCTAAGAATTGTTTTCAACAAGTTCCAGTCAGTTGTCTCATTCATACCAACAATGGCCACTATATTATCACCTGAGGTAATGAATCTCGTTTCTCCTTCATCCCCCCTTATCCACATTATTCCTTAGAGTTAATATGCTTCTTTGCCATTTCATCCCCTGTTTTCTAATGTAGGCTGTGGAGAGAGAGTCTGAATCTGGGGGGAAGCTTGGGGACTTGGATTCTTATGAAATTGAAGGTGCTGAGTCCAAGTCAGAAATCCTTCAGAATCTCACGGAGTTCCAATTTTCATGTGTATGTGATTCTTCCCACTTACAAGGCATCATTTCTGTCTTGTTTTGATGAGGACTAGAACTGGATGATGTGTGCTATAGTTGATGCAGATATTACACTTTGCAATTTAGATGGTTGTTTTCTTTAGTTAGGCTTTACAAGTGCTGTTAGAGTTCGTATTGTGTGCTGATATATCTTTTATTAGTGTTTTAATGCCCCCCCCCCCCCCCCCCCCCCCGAAAATATAGAACCTATCACCCAATTCGAATATAATGAATGTGAAAGGTACACGATCACGTGTTTACTTTAAACTATTTTAGTCAATGTTGTAATCAAGTTTTCTCTTCTAGGTTCTATTCAATGCTGTTTTGGAGAATGCTTGCAGTGAGCAAGGGGCAAGGATGTCTGCGATGGACAGCTCCAGTAGGAATGCTGGTGAAATGCTTGATCGCCTCACCCTTACCTACAACAGGTTCTCCCCCCCCTCCCTCTCATTTTGTATCCTAGCACTAGACTTGAGAGTTTTTGGGCGAATCATTATCATATACCATTTCCGACCAAGAAATGCCACTTAGACTGGAATTTACTGGTTTGGACTGGTGTGGTATAATGAGTATTTTACTATTGTTATAAGTCTGGCCTCTTTGAACTGACTAGACCTAAAATAATCAATATTGTTTTCAATAATTTGTGTAATTATTGTTTCAATACTATGTTTCATTATTGTTTAACAAATACTCATTATTGTTTGATAAAATTCCACTAATATTACTCTCTTAAGAGTTACAGACAAAAATGTGACTTGGTAACTTTTAGTTACTATAATTATGTTCAAAGTTACTATGATGTAGTGACCATGATGTAAACATTTTTGTTATAGCAACTATAAGTTACTATAAGTTGCTTTGCTAAAAAAACTATAAGTTACTTAGTCACATTTTTGTCCATAACTTTTGTATTAGTAATATTTTAGGAAAAACCTCTTGTTGTTTTTTAGTCTGCTCTGTTTAATTTAGACACTGAAATAAGCTGCGAGCAGCTCCTATCTCAATTAACCTTATATGTGTTGAGTTGGGTTATTTATCTTTCCAACCTAGAAACTGAATATATTTGACAAGTTTCATTTTCTGGTATGGTATCTTGTTGCCTTCTACAAGCCATCTGATCAATGGTACTTTTACTTTTTGAGCAGAACCCGCCAAGCATCCATCACCACAGAACTGATAGAGATCATATCTGGAGCATCAGCACTGGAAGGATGATTCAATTTTTTTTTCTGCTTAATTTCTGATGGTGATGAAATAAAATACTACGAGGGCTGGTGTTGCACTTAGTTCTCCCATAGCTTACTCCAGATTTTTTAATGGTGGTTAATAATCTTCTCGTTGTTCGTTATAATTTTGTTTTCTGGATGAAATTGTGGTTGTGAAACCTGCCACCCTCTCCCTTGAATTGCCAGTCACTCCCATAGCGCAGATATCACCCTTCCCAAAAGGCCAAAAGGTGTGACCCTTTGAGTATTACATTTCGGTGCTGGCACATGTTCATTGTAGTGGGAAAATTTGTATTTATGCTTTGAGGTCCACTCTAATCTTTTGCTTTAATAACATTCATTTTTACCGTTTAGATGTTAATTTGAGTAGCGAATCAAATGTAGATCCTTATCCATCAAATGCACATCTTAATACTTAATAGAGGATACAATCCAAACCCGATCCATTGACGGGCCTAACCATGAGGTGTAGTTTTAACACACTTCTCCATGAAAGGTTACCTTGTTTGTTACTGAAATAATTGTAAAACACTGCTTATTATTGCACTGAAATGGAGAAATCGTCGTCCGATACTCTGATGCCCTTATACTCTGGCCTGACAAAATAGTGAATGGATAAATAGGGTGGGGAGGGGTGAATTACGGTAAGATCCCACATTCTCCTAGAGCAAATTAGATTGTCGACCATGCAAATTATATGATAAAAATTGAAATTATATAATTCGATATTGACTTTGTGTCTTTGTAAGATTTGATGAAAGTATGAATGCATTAGAATTAGATCCACAAACTAGAGAAGAGTAGACCAAAAAGTTAATATCTTAACAAAATTTAAGCTTAATAAATTTGCTGTTTTGATGTACACAAATAGAATAAAATAAAATATAATTGGCAGTCCAGTATCTTGCCAACCTGCATCTCCACTTAAAAACATCTCCAGGCCCTTTGATTTGTCCATTCTCCTTGACCAAAAGTCTTATTTTGTTCTCTGGTATTTTAATATTTCCCCCAGAATTAGGATTTAGGAATGAACATGGGGCGGTGGGCCTTCCAGTCCGGGGAGAAATAAGACGTGGTTGGGGCGGTTGCAGGGTAACAATAAGTAATAACATGAGCCTATCTTTTCCCTTACTTTAATATAGAGTGGCAAGGTTGTGTTCACTGAACTAAATATTTTTTAATGATTTCACAGCAAAATAATTCATTTTTATGAATGTGCATGCACGACTGAAAGTCAAGTGTAAATTAATTTATTCTTTAATTTGTTCATGTAACTTTTAATACTTTTCTTTAAGTCTAGTATAAATACTCCTAAATTCCTAAACCATGTCATGTGTACTGAAAATGCACTCTAAAATGTGTCCTTTCATCCTTTAGAATTTTACCAAATTTGACTGACACATGATACAGTAAAATAAAAATTGTGTCATTGATATTTTTGTGTAGATGAAGCAAAAATAATAAGAACCACAAACAAATAACTTTAAAGGGAAAGTGTCATATATTTTTAAACAATCAGATAAGACAAAAAATGATTAAATTATAGAGGTAGTATTTTACCTTGAGAGGGTTGGACCCTGTTAAATCCTTGCACATAATTTAAGAGTGAAATAGTAGGGTGTTGTAGAAAAAATGTAAAAAGCAGGAGATATGAGGATGAATGAAACATGAATAAGAAGCCAAAGAATTAAAAATGTAATATATTTTACTGAGTAGTTATTTTTATATGAAAAGTTTATCAAAGAGATTTAAAGTTATAAATTAAATTAAAATAAATCCAGAAATGTTTGAATATGTTCTTAATCCCTGTAAATATTTAACGTCTCCGCGGATTTATTTTTTGCTTTTTATCCGTTGATTTTCTTTTGAAAAAATGACATGTATATTACTAACAGTGTTGTCCTAGACAACCTTCAAACATTTACAGCGGATGATCTTCCTCCCAGAGCCAAAAGAGCGTATAATGAAGACAGGGCTGGAGTGGCTTACTTCAGAGACGCTGGTTGAATGGACGGAATCACTCTTCTCCGCCGGCACTAATTCTCTTTTTTTGGACGCTAGTTTTCTCTACATGGACCCCAGGAACCATTTCGCAGCCCATTTTGACCATTTTAAAATTGTCCATTTTATGTTTTCACAGGGAAACGCATTTAGATTCCTTCAGCGAACAACTTCGGTTCTGCACATTCTGTAATTGTCATCCATTTTCAATAAAATTTTGGTAAATGTTACCCGACATTTATCACACCCAACTCTGGGTGGTTCTCGGGCAAAAAAAAAAAAAAAAAAAAAAAAACAGTGTTGTCCTAGACAAAAATATGATTAGTCATGTTTTACAAAAAAAAATGACTAGTCATTCTGTACAAGTAACTGAACAAAAGTTACTGTAGTTTATTTTAAAATGATAACTCGCTGTGGATGATGAGTCAGTAAGAACTATTCACTGAAATATCACTTCTTAGGAAATTTTAAAATAAGTCATATTCATGCAAAAAAGCCCTTTCTTTTTAGTCCATCAATAAAAAATTATATTTGAAAATGAAACAAGCCTGACTAACAGGTTTACTCTCATTCTTTGTCATGTTATTTAAAAAGTACTCCATCGTCCCAAATTGTTTTGCAAAGTCAATATTTTTTGGTCGACCAATAATAAAAGTCAATCATCTCTCTATCTATAATTAATTCAATTATTAATAATTAAAATTTACATATTTAGAAACTACATTGAAATCTCTTCAAAGTTGCAATTTCAAATTAGAATAAAATTAAAAATTGGCATCCTAATTAAGCGAATAAAATGAAACTGTTTGACCAAGAAAAATCAAATTTGCAAATCAATTTGGGACGGAGGTACTATTTGATTTTATTTTTTAGATAGTTCTTAATACACATTTTTAAAGTGTTAATAATTACTTTTACATTATTGTAACTCTAATATTAGCCTCAAAAAAATTATAAAAGGATAAATATAAATTTAAGTTTCAAGTAGATTTGTGCAACTAGCAACCATGTCTTTCACTAATAGAGTGTTCCAAAATTAGAGATGGAATAAAAATAAAATGGTACATATTACGAGTATGATAAACAAAAAAAAAATATTTTACATGAGCCTAAAAGAAGATTTGTATATTTGAATTTAAAATGTACTCCGTATTTAAGAGAGGTTTAAAGAGCAAGAGATTCAAGCCTTTCAAGGCACTGCACTCCCTACTCCACAAGACCACAAGTCCTTTATTGACATTTCGATATTGACATTTCTTCCTTCTCTTAAAAAGTAAAACGTTTCACTGAAATTGCAACGCCTTTACGCATTAAAAAGAAAGACTTTTTAGTGGAATTACAACGCCAGCAAATTTTTCTCAGTCTATATTTGTTGTTGATTAGTAATTTATTGCTACACTCTCCTGAATCCATAGCAGTTGAGCAAGGCTTTCGTTGAGATCGACCGTTTCAGCTCTTGGGTATAGCAGTGCACAAGTGGCTTTTGTGTGGTAATTTCGTGAACCTTCTCCTATTCTGGTTGGCTTTAAGAATTTTATTAGTATACCGGTCTTTTCTTCAATACACAGAGGCAGAGGGTTTTCTGGGGAAGGGATTTCAGTTGTTTATGGGGGGGTTTGGATCAGCACATTGCTGTCAAATGCTAACGCTCTTTGACGATTGAAGGTTCCATAGGGTTGTTGAAACGTTTTATCATAACAAATGGTTGAAGCTTGGTCTTGCCGTATTGATTCAGCTCTTGATTTTGGTTATCTGGATGCTGCTCTGAGAAACTGGTTATTTATCAGAGATATCTGATGCTTTGAGCTTTCTTATTCTTAAGAGCTTGAAAGAAGAGAGTTTTAGTTTATCATTTTCAATTTCCTTTGGATTTGGCGGTTGCTCTAAGGCTCTTTTTTGCTTTCTTTGATTCTCTCTCTCTCTCTAGTATAACAGGGGGGAATCAAATTAGTTGTCATTGTAAAGGAAAAAGGAAAGTGTGTTGTTATGCTGCTGAAAATTGAATGACTGAATTGTGGCAGCTGCTGCTGGTACAGACATATAGCATTGGGAGGGATTTATTAAGAGGTAAAGTGGATATTTTATACATGTTTTTCTTATATGAAAACTGCAAAATATAAACAAAAACCCTCACAGAATACTCTCCAAATTTTGACAAACTGTACAACCCTAGGAATGATATCTAAAAATATGGCAGGTAAAGATGTTCGTAGGGAGAGGGAACTAACTCATGAAAATACTATTATGACGGACACGCCATCTTCAAATGGTTTGTCTGGAAATCTTAGAATGTTGGATAGTTCTGGTAGTTGTAATACATCACCAACTACTTCAAATCACACAATTGGGCCCATGAATGAGATAAGCCATCATGTAGACTTGGAAGGAGCCCAAGTAGGTGATGAATCCAATGTGCCCGCAGATGATTATTCTCATCACCCTTATACATCAGATGTGCGATTTTCATATAGTCTCAGAAGAAACCGAAGCCTGAGAAGCAAACAATCTATTGAACATAAAATAAAGCCTCAAAACTCTCTCCAGAGCTGCTTACTGGCCCAGGCTTACAAGGAACGAGCGGAAATGGAAGAATACATTTTTAGAAAAGATTCTTCATCGTTAAATATGTTGAGGCCATTTTTGGTCATGGACAGTAGCCAGACCATCAGCAGAGCTAGTGGTGATTTTTTCAGTACACCAAGTCAGACAGATTTTCATAGGCTGCAAAAAGATGTCTTATTGCAAGAGAATGATGCAGTGTTTGGAATTCCTCAACTACCCAATATTGAAACCATGAAAAAGACTAACGCTGATAGAGGAAAGGACCACAGTGGAAGTTTTAGCAGAAAAGTGAATGAGAAACACTGTCACTCAGAAGGTATTCAGTACCTTTAGTTGATTTATTTTTATTCCTGCAATTTTTTAAAATCCATGAAACGACAAATAGTTTTTGACATGTTTTTTCTTGTCAACTGTTATGATTATCATATTCTTTTCAGCTTTTGATGGCTTCATACTGACTGATCTTTACCTCTAATGCCTTAGATGTATCTCATGGCTTACCCCGTATTTGCACCAGGGTCGTGTAATGGAGCATTTCTTGTCTGTCTTGGAATATCTGTTGGCATATTCTCTTCACTCTTGGCACATAAGGAGGAGGTAGGTAAATTGAATGGGTTACTGAAACAGACTGAGAACTTGGTTCAAGATCTACAAGAGGAACTTGAAATGAGGGATTCATTAACTGTGAAAGAGCTTACCACCGAGGATTTTGAGTCCCAAGATACATATAACAGCTCTAGTAACAAGGAGTTATTGCATGGATTCTCCTCTCAAAAGAAGTTGAATAACTTATCAAACCAATGTTTTGAAGAATATCATTGTCAGGACTCAGAGGGTGAATCTATGAGTAAAATTGAAGCAGAGCTTGAAGCTGAACTGGAGAGATTAGAATTCAACATTAACTCATTTAAACTGGATGATGAATATTCTGACGTAGTTGAGGTAAGAACACGTCACTATCATGTGTCTCTATTTGAAAGACTTAGACTGTTCACATAATTTACAGTTTCCTAAAACTATAGTATCTATGTTCTGTCTGTCCTTATAAAGTTAATTCTGCATGTGTGCTTCTAATTTTGTAACACATGCTGGACCTTATCTCCCTCTTTCGTTATCCCCACTGCTCTTGGCTTGCCATAGGGGGAGATCATAGGCAGTGTATTCAGTAATGGTGCATAGATCAGAATTCTAAATATTAAAAAACTGTCCAGATTGATGGCTATCTTAATATTTCCTTATTACTATTGAGTACAGAACTGAGTATCACTAATAAGAATAGTGAGCCTTGTTTGTTAAAATAATTCAATCAAGCATTAGCTTACTACCTTCCCTCAGTTCTTAAAACCGGTTATTTGCTACACTGAAATTTAATAGGCGGTTTTAGACTGATTTTTCATATTGGCTTGCTTAGATGGGTGACATATCAAACTATAAAATAGCAGCAATTTCATATTGGTTTTAGACTGGTTAGTTGCTTTCAAGGAACAGAAAATTCCGTAAACATGATCAAATTATAACACATTTCTTTAAGCGGGTCTAGTAGATCCGGTCTACTATTGTTTTTTTGCTAAAAATGACTCAGTTACTCCCAAAAAAGAGTTAACTACTTGTACTCTTTAAAGGACTGAATGAGTCGTGTTTTCAGCATAAACCAATGATACTCCTATTTGTGCACATGACTGATGTTTAACTCCTATTGGCGGTAAACTTTTTCAAGAAATGCCTATAGGTTTTCATCCACAATGTAAAGAACTATTAACTATCAAGGCGAGATGAATCTCGTACTCTTACAGAAACATTTGAAAAAAACTGTAATTTACATTCTGGAGAACCAGACCTTGGTCAGGTAATAGTTACCCAATTGTGAAAGCATTGTATTTATTTGGTACACTTCAGAGTTTAGACATTTGATACAAATTGCCATACAGTTCGTCACCAGATGAATAGAATTTCGACTCTAACATTGATGACTGAATCAAGATGGTATTGGTTCTCACCATGTGATAGATAGTATGCCCTTTGTTTATAAAAAGCAGCAGTTTCTCCATCTCTCGTTTCATGATATTCTAGTTCTGACAGCCTCAAATGCCTTGCAGCTTGACCCAGACTGTGTACCTGATTTAGCTGAGGGAGAGTTGCGAACTGATGTCGTCAGTAGGCATTTTGTTCACCAACCGTATGCAGATCAGGATGGAAGTGGCGACTCCACCCCTCATTCTGCCAACTATGCTGTTTCGCCCAGGGAACTAAGCTTGCGGCTCCACCAGGCCATCCAGTTACAATTAGAAGAACGTGTCAGTGAGCTTGAAATTGCACTTGAGCGTAGCCAGATGAAAGTGTGTCGCATGGAAGCACAACTTAGTAATAATTGGAGAGCATTGTCTAGTAGTGAGGTGGAGACGTCTCCTTCAACCAAAGGCAGTCCGGTCGCTAAAGATGACCCTACATATATCGATTTAGCAGGGGATGCTCTTGATGAATACAGTGAGGCTTTTGAAGGTACCTCGAAGACAAATGAATCTGAAACTGATGGGATATCTTTTGGGATTCGGAGTCTCGGCCCTCATGAAAACATGCAGCGACAAGATGATAGCAGAGATTGGATTCGAAAATGCACACTTGGTGATGAGAACGGTGATGTTAATGATGAGATGGAAAAGCTGCTCATTAGGCACATTGTGCAGAAAACCATGAAGGGCTCTCCAGCCGTTTTGAATGCTCAGAGAGCATTTTTTTACGGCGATGATTTTGAACATTGATACTTGATAGAGAGAACAAAGTTTTTTTTTTCCAGTTTTTTGTTAGAAAGACTTTTTTTTTTTAAATTTCATTCTTTGAAAAATGGAAGACCAAAAAAATATGCTCAACAGTTTCTTTCACATTTGAAAAAATGAAGAGCCATTGGATTGGTTATTATTTCGGCCCCAATTAAAAGAATCTCTTTGAGCTAAAAGGAAAATACAATTAACATATAAATTATTAAATGCCTTCCTTTAGAAACTAAATAACTTGAATGAAAAAGGGGCGAACCCGGTTTCTTTTTTGTTTTGTTTGAGCAATCCACAATACAAAATTCTTATTCTACCGGGTTATTCTCTACCTTGACAATTGTCATAGATAAAAGAACTTCAATAAGAAATGAGTAAAAAATAATCAAAGAGCATTTGATTACACATAGTGTAATTGAGTTATTTGGCTAAAACAGCTATTGGCATGTATACACTGAGGATGTCTATAATTGAACTGAAAGTTTTAGTCCGGTCCGGTCTCATATGTTTAAGTTTGATCTGAACTCGTCTAATCCAGACTGATTTGATCTGTTTAAATCTAATTTAGTTTGAATAACTGTGATCTGGTAGAGGCGCGTTCTATGTGTACTTTACAACTATTAAAGTCCAATTTAAAACACCCTTATTTTCACTCTTGTATTATGCATTTTCGTAATGAGTAATTAAAATCATGAGCAACCTATTCTTTTTTGTAAGAACCAGTGAACTTAGCCGGAATCATCCTGGCCCCCAAGTATTCACCCTACACTCTTGGGTTAAGTTGCTTTTAATCGATGCAGATGCAAGGGAGATTAAATAGAGGCTCTCAATTTCACGTATACTCGGGTTCCCAATGCAGCTCTTGAGAGAACTATCACCGATTAGCATTAGGTTGTAACAAAGAAATTGACTCGAGTCTAGAACTCGAGTCTAGAAGATCAGTTTGAATTTTGTTTATCAAATTCACATCTTCGTTGACTTGAATGTGTCCACAGACTCGGCGTGTCTGTGTGCAAAAAATAATTTAGGGATACATAGTACGAAGTATATAAGAGTCTAAGAGACAAGTATGTGTACTATTTACTCAACAATTCTCTTATCAGTTATCCCATATATGCTCCTATGATAGCCCTCAATAATGAAATTGAGTCGATAAGTAATTCTGCATCATAATCCGTTATACAATATACTACATATCAATACTAGAGAGGAGCCCTAACCGCCTCCTCTTCCTTCCTTCTTTTCTTCTCTTCTTTTGACTACAATCATCGAAAAAGTTCCGTTTAATCAGTATTTTCAGTTCTATCTATACGTTTATTTCCTAGCGTTGTCTAAATATATTATTTTCGGTAGCGAAGTGTTGCTCGCCAGATCTATATTCCCAGCCATCATCCGTCGGGTGTTCTTGTGTGCTAGTAAGAGGTTTGTATTGGCTTCTTTATCAATCATGAATCAAGATTTCTCCTGCATCGATATAGAGGCCGGTCACCCCCTCCTGAACCACCGTCGATTTAGGAAGATGACATTGGATGGATTGCTTTCTTTCCGGTGGCTGGTCAAATCGAAACAATTTCTGCACTTGGCTCCTTATCAGTGGCTGGAAAAACCGGCAAGTTCAATAATTCCTTTTTGGTGGCTGGTCAAGCCGAACCCATTTCGAGTAGCATGAGCAGATACACTGCGGTGCGAGTCTACATTGTCGCAAGGTTAGCGAACATGAGTGCTTTTATATGACATTTTTGTTCTTTGTCTCACCCTAGTGTAGTATTGAACGCTATGATTGTAATGCTTCGGCTTTTAGTTGTTATGTTTCTTTTTAAGATTTAATTATCAATAAAATGGTTATTTGATTTTCAAAAAAGAAAAGTAATTCTGCATGATATATTTTTGGGAAAATGTGCTCATAAATATATATTTTCGTTTGTCAAGATATTTTTTTTCCTTTGAACATTAATTCACAATATAGAAATTTGAACTCTATTTACACATGATGGGACCTATTTCTTCAAAGCCTTTATTTGTTGAGGTAAGTTTTTTATACACATTGCATTGTAAAAATTTGCTTCTTTACTCTTTAGTATGTACTCTATGAATGGGTGATACACAAGCTCTAAAGATCTGAATCACCTTTTTATCTGCCACAGTTCACTTGTACCTAGATGCTTATGAATGTGCCTACTATTTCGTAAAAGCTTTGTTTAAAAATAATTATCTTTATTCAAATGCTTAAAGAAAATATTTATTTGAAAAAGAAGGGTAAGCAGTGTAAGTTTAGAAAAACCCAATTGATTTGGCAGCACTTGAGAACATTAAACACGTGATAGGGGGAATAGGAACAACTTAAATATCGGTCAAAATAACTAATTCACAGCATTCTGGTAACATTATCTCAAAAGTTAATAGGGACAGCCACTATTTCACTTGGAAAAGATTGAAGCAAAGAGGAAGGACAAAAGATACACCTTGTGTTTGTGAAGAGAAAATTATGGGATTTTGAACCAAGGTCATGTTCATATTGAACAAATATCTGGCATTCAAGTTCAGGTTGAGAACTAGGCTCGTTTGGCATAGTTATCAGTCTCAACTTCATCTCCGTAACTCCCACTGCCAGAATGTGGAGAACTGCTGTCATCACTGTTGTTGTAGTTGCTACCACCACTGGCATAATTGTCACTGTAACCAGCATTATTTTCATAACCACTATTGCCGCTATTGGAATAATATCCATTGCCACCGCCAGTACGATATCCACCTGACCCTTCACCGAAGCCCTGTGACCTATCATTTGCATAGTTCACCCTTATTGTGCGACCATCAAGTAGCTGCCATATATAGAATTATAAAGGTACTGTCAAGCCACAAACCAGTTTGCACTAACACACCAAAGGTAATTCTTCTTTTCATTTGATGCACATATTAAAATAGGAAACACATTGGGAGAACTTCAATTGAGATGGGGGATGGGCTGGGACCATGGAGTCAGGGGTGTGGAGATGATTATGATGTAGAACTAGGAGAACTATACTTGGCTGCACCATTATGAAAAATTGATATGATCATTTTGAAATTTGAAATATTATTGTTATGGAAAATTATCAAAAACGTAATGAAATGTGGCAACAGGTTGTACGACACCCATCGGGCCTTCGGTGAGTGGTCACAGAAGCAATTTTAAATCTAATAAGTACTATAATCTCGTGCATGACTAAGGAGGAAAGGGAAGACTTACGCGTCCATCCAAGGCCTGGATTGCAGCACTAGCTTCCTCAGCATTCTCAAAGGTTACAAAGCCAAACCCCCTTGATCTTCCAGTTTCACGGTCTGTAATGACTCTTGCTGGCAGAAACTCAAGCATATCAACATTAATTGTTAACTAACAGAATACTAAGATTAGCCGAGATCGCTTTGAGAAAACTTTAAAAGATTGTACTGAAACTGGAACCAACAGAAACATGGAGCTAGACATATGTCCTGCAGAAGTTAACTGATTATAATTCTCTTTGAGGCACAAGCAATTGCACTTTCAGGATTTAATTAAATAACTTTTGCTCACTTTAAAAAACAACCATAATTCTTTAAAACTCCTCCGACTCTTCATTTCTTTTCTTCTATAATCACCTTACTTCCACGAGTCTTCGCAACTGCTGTTCTGCAGCCCTTCATTCTCGGTTATCTAGATATTGTCTGCACATGTCCATTAATTTATTTGCCCCGTAAATGATGTGTTACATTTTCCTTGATGTTAGTACAACACACTTCAATATGATGTGATAATGTGATTCCTCTTCCTTTCTGCAAGGTGTTTTTTGCTACATTTTCATTCAGTTAATAATGGATGAGGATGTTGACGGTGATGGTGGATTTGGTGTTGGGTTTTAATCCCAATTTCAAACGACTAGATATTAATGACCCTTTTTTCATTCCTCAATCTAACAATCTTTGATGGGTTTGAGTGTTTGACAATATTTTCTATTATGTGATGCTTGAACTTACTATTTAATGGGGTTACAATCCTATTCTTGTTCATTTTCAATATGAATCCCTTGCCTTTTTATTACTTTTTATTATACTACATTAGTTAAATTGATTATTATTATTATTATTTTTAAAAATTTTGTATAAATTCTAGGATATGTGGCTTACATATCATTGCACAATAAGGAGTAATACGAACAAATATTCTAACTGCCTCAACTGTGAAAAACACAATTTCGTAAACTAGATCAATTTCATGCATGAATCCCTACTTCTGGGTTTCATCAGTTTCTCAATCAATAAACACTGGAAAATTTTGAAATTAATAAAAAAAGTATTCTGTTCTGAGAACAAGGTGCATTGTGTCATAAATTAAAGTGAATACCCTCAACGACTCTTCCATATTGACCAAAGTTATCTTGAAGAGTTGCATCATTTGTATTCCAAGAAATTCCTGCAATGCCAAAATCATGAATCATCTTCAGAAATTTGAAGGGTTGTACAAATTTGCTGAGAAACAAAGTACACATACCTCCAACAAAAACTTTTGATGATGACATAAATCTCAGAATCTGGAAAACTGAAGATTTGGACGAAGAAATCTCATGACTGATCTGATGCTTGATAGCTGCCTGCTTGAGTATATTTCTGGCATGACTAAAGAAAGCCATTTCTGTGTACCAAAGAGACAGATAATTAATTTACTTAGTCATAGGATCCTAGGCTAATGTGAATAATATAATAATAGTAATAGAATGATATTAAATAGGTGTGGTATTGTATAAATAAGAATTCTGGGCCATGTCAGAAAATATGGGTTGGCCCGTTAGAATATAACTACTATAAGAGTGGGCAGGAGGGAATAAGGGAGTTAGGCAGAAGTTGGGTTTGGAATTAGGCTTGGGAGTGCGAGACTACTCGAAGTGTCTCAATAATATCAGCTCTTCACTATCTTTCTGTCTACGCCATTGTAATCCAGTTCGAGCTTTGAAATCTTCATCAATAATATTATAATTTCCGTAGTGGTAATCCCCAAATTTTGAGGCGGAGAAAGATATAGAAGCATAAACACCCCCAAAGTTCTAAATGACTTTGATTTATGATATTGCATTTCCAAACACTAGTCCAAAAATGAACTGATATCATTTGTGTTCATCAGACGAACTTTAAACTCTTAAACCAGCGCCTAAAGCATATATAACATTAATAAAAACTACGAACAGGTTTACAAACAATGAAATACATGGAACACACAAAAATTTAAGTGACTTTTTTACACTGCACGAGACCCACAGCATATTCCGCGTGTGAGGGTTGTTATGAAAACTGTGCACTACAACGAAGAAGGATTTGACTGAATGGAATTTACACATTAAAAGTTTTTTTTGCCAACCAAGATAGGAAACCATTTAAAACTAATGAACAATATTGAATACATCCAACATTAAGAGACGAAATACAGGCATAAATGCTCAAAAATACGCAGCTCTGACACTTCCAAGAGAAATAAAATCCACGAAATTAACATTCAACAATAACCAGATACGCGTAATGATAAACATCTTCATTCGAATGGGATATCATCCTGAAGTTTTTAGAAATGTATCTCACCTCTTAAGTTCAGCTGCCTGATAAACCCTAAGGTAGTAAGTCAAAGGGTTTAGCTGGAGTGTGGATTGCTATTTATAGAGGTTTCAATATTGGGTGGCGTCAAACTATGATAAGAATTAAGATATACCAGTAATTTTCATTTGCTTCTAGGTTGATTTACTTAGGGATTATTTCAAAAATCTACAATAATAAAAATGGTAATGTTTGAAAAATTATTTTGGAGAATTTAAAGTTATAGTGTTTTTTTTCAAAAACTAATTTCTAGAGTCCATTTGGAAATCTTTCTTTTTCTCAATCTTATTAATCAATTTTTTAAAATAAATATTGATTTTTTATTTTGCTACTTAAATTGTATAGTAATCAAAATATGGACAATTAGATTTACTTATTTTATTAAATTTGATGATTAACTATTTTAATTCCATTTTTAAATATAATTTTTCACAATTCAACATATTCAATTATAACATATAAATTTCAGTAAATTCAATTGGTCTCAACATTTGTCAAAAAAAAATTGGTCTCAGCATTAACAAATACAGAGTAGAATCTTAATATCAAAGTCAAAAGTAATCATAAGTGCTCACATGCTTACATTTTTTATCTTCAAACTATTTAATTTTCAGTGAAAATATAAAGAAGTGTAATTTTGTATATAATTTATACATCGGAAAAATCACTAAATCTTACTATATATAAACTTGTAGCCTATATGTTTTTCCAAAAATAAAATTGATAGAAATGTTTGGGAAATTCTTGAAAAGAGAATAACAGACACTTATTTCGGAATATATTAAAATGAGGGAGGGTGAGAAGAAAATGGGAAAATTCCCGAAATATGACTAAAACAGTTTCAAAATTTCAAAATAGGACTGTCATGTTTTTTATTCCCAAAATAGGAGTAATTACTTCCAAGTTTGGAAAATACTGTCATGTTTGAAGTCTGGTACTGCCAAAACATGGCAGTAATTAGTCCTATTTTGGGAATAAAAACATGACAGTCTTATTTTAGAATTTTCAAACCTTTTTAGTCCTATTTCTGGTAATATCCCGAAGAAAATCCAAGAGACATCAATGGGGATAGAGCACTTACGTTAATAAGTTAATGGGAAAATGGAAACTAATAATCCAATCTTTTAGCAGTCTTCTTAGAATAGTCTCACTTTTTCGTTATTCAAGAATAATCCAACCTTTGCACCTCATCTTCATTCGTTGGTCCCTGACCGGTTAATGACCTGCCATTCCAAGTTATTTTATTTATCTTTGCAAAATATTATCTTTGTGAAAGGTGATATTTATGGTATAATGGTTTGCAAAGATAAGAAAATAACTCGGAATAGCAGGTCATCAACCGATCAGGGACCAGTGAATGAAGATGAGGTGCAAAGGTTGAATTATTCATGAATAACGAAAATGTGGAACTATTGTAAGAAGACCGCTAAAAGGTTGAATTATTAGTTTTCATTTTCCCTAAGTTAATAGTAACGAGTAATATGAAATCATTGCATTGAGGGGGAAAGTAGGTAGACAAAGCTTATCAATCTATGAGATAATATACCATTTGAAATTTGAAATTTGGTGGAATTAAAATTTGGAGTATAATAATGTGTTCATTTAATTGAGTGACATTTGTGACCAACAATTATAACCATTGTTTTAAAACTCGCTAGACGTTAGTCAGACGGTTGAGGGTGCCTAACACCTTGGCGGCCGACTAGGCCGATTTTTTGGCCGGCTAGGGATGTTTTCTTTTGGACTGTAATTTGTTGATATGGTCTGGTCAGGGACAAAAAAAATCCAAAAAAACATCCTAGGTTGATTAGTCCTCTACAGTTAAGGTAAACCAGCTCATTAATTGGTCCCGCTAGGCCAATTTTTAGAAAAGTGATTACAACTATATATTTGTTCTTTAAAAAAAACTCTATATTTTTAATTATAATATATTTTTGGTCCTAGACGTTAGTCAGACGGTTGAGGGTGCCTAACACCTTGGCGGCCGACTAGGCCGATTTTTTGGCCGGTTAGGGATGTTTTCTTTTGGACTGTAATTTGTTGATATGGTCTGGTCAGGGACAAAAAAATCCAAAAAAACATCCTAGGTTGATTAGTCCTCTACAGTTAAGGTAAACCAGATCATTAATTGGTCCCGCTGGGCCAATTTTTAGAAAAGTGATTACAACTATATATTTGTTCTTTAAAAAAAACTCTATATTTTTAATTATAATATATTTTTGGTCCTGCTATTATATTGATTAAAAGTTAAAATTCCAAAAAATGTTTGTAGAACCGTCACACTTTTTAATAATGCACCAAATAGACCGGCGGTTCAGAAACTGATAGGTGGTGGAATATTTTTCAAATTTGGTTCTAGTGGTGATATAGTTTTTTGTTAACACCTTGAGTTGAATGAGTTCTATCATAAAAGGTCAACCTGATAGGAGAAATAACTCAATATCTTAATATAACACTTTACTGCTTCACAATTCTTCCGATGTGAGATTTTAACACCTCTCCTCACGACTAGATATTTCATCTGAATTGTTTCATCATTTTCATAGGGGTTCACATTATGATTATGGATCAGTTTAGCTCTGATACTTTGTTAAGATTCAAGATCTTAAAAGATCAACTTGATAGGAATAATCAGTGATCTTGATATATCACTTACTACTTCACATTTTACCGGCGTGAGCTTTCTACATTTTGTTAACAAGATCTACAACTATCAATTGTACCCACTCCAATGAAATCTTAATATAACACTTTACTACTTCACAATTTACCGATGTGAGATTTCAACACCTCTCCTCACGACTAGACATTTCACCTGGATCGTTTCGTCATTTTTATAGGGGTTCAAATCATGGCTATGGATCAATTAGCTCTGATATCATGTTAACATTTGAGATTTTGCCCTAAAAGGTCAATCTGATAGGAGGAGCAATTAGTGATCTTAATATGGCATTTTACTACTTCACATTTTACCAACGTGAGATTTCAACAGTTTTTTAACAAGATCTACACCAATCAATTGTACCCACCCCCAACAGTCAACCTATAGTAACTATTCACATGAACACGTTGAAATCCATCCATCCATCCATCCATTCCATTTATATTCAAATCCAAATGGATTTACTATCTTATAAAGCCCTGTTTCACGTAAATTATATCATACACCCGGTTGTACCGTGCACACGGTACAACCAGGCCTTTTGTTCTGCCGTGCACCAACACCTACAGCAACGGCGGACAACCTCTAACCACGAGCGACTAGCCGCAACCTTTGGTGGAGGGCGTAGATCCAAGTGACGAGTCAACGACTAACCTCCAGTATTGGCGACAGACGAGGAGTGGAAATTGACAAAGATTTCCGGCGAGTTCTGCCTGGACGAGTCGCGAGCAACCTCCTGCGACAATCGATAAGCAACGGGCCAACGAATTCCTGTCATAGGCAATGAGCGACGGACCTCAGCTTCAAATATGAGCATATACAAATGAAAAGTTGAGCATAGTAGAGATTTTAAATGAACTTTTTTTTATGTTCATTTCGTAATTAGTATATGCATGCATATTTCAAAAGTATAAGGGATTTTGTCAAAAATATTACTAAAAAGTGAGTTATAGACAAAAAGTGACCTATTTTCAGTTTTCGAAAATGTGACTAAAAATAAGCTAAGAGACTATTACACCCCTATACTAATACATTTAATTCCCTGGGCTACAGTAGTAATGTGACAGTGACCAAAAGTCCACCAGTGACAAAAACTCCACTAGTTACCAAAATCTACCAGTGACCAAAAAATCCACCAGTGGACACCCCGGGCAGTGACCGCCCTGGTCACTGTGACCACCGTCAGTGACCTCCCACTACTGCTGCCAGTGACAATTAACTCGCTCCTAGTGACCAACCGCCTAGTGACCCACCGACTAGTGACCCGCCGCCTCAGTGACCCGCCGCCCCAGTGACCTTACCCGACTTTTGGTCACTATCCCGCACCACCATGTTACCTAACGGTCAATTACAATGGTTAACACCGACCACCATCTCCGGCCACCCATGATGAACATCAACTCCGGCCACCGACGACGACCATCTCCTCCAGCCCCCGTCAGCGGCGACCACTAACACCACACGCCATCCTTGACTCTCCCAGACCCCTCCCTAGCGTCAACCCAGCCCCTACCCCTTCGGCACCACCATGCCCCAACCCCTCCGGCACCACACACACAAGCCCCTTTCCCCTCCTTCTACTGCCCCGCCACTAGCTCCACGCCCCAGCTCCCCCAGGTTCTGATCCCCTACCCTGCCAATGGCCTATTTTCACAAATCCGGCCAGTGACATCACAAATCCAGCAAACAGCAACCTAAGATCCCTATCATCAACGAAGAAAGAGATGAAATCGACGCCCATTCTGTTACATCTACAGCCCCACATCCGCCCCACTTGGCCTAACCACCACCGCCCACCTAACGACCCGTCGTCGTTTACTCACCACACCACCACCACTAGTAGGATGATCTCCGGTGTCGTCGCTGGTGGTCATCCTCAAGCTCCGGTCAGGAAAAATCAACGACATGGCACTCGTAGCTAGAGTGCCATGTCGCTCGTCGGCTAGACCAGCCACACGTTATGCTAATCTACTCGACTACGACTTAGACGGGTGGTTGAACCGCAACTTGGACGGCGTGGCAAAAATTTGGACGGCGGGGCGGAGATCTGGACAGAGAGGCGGAGATTCGAATGGGGAGGCGGAGATCTGGAGTTCCGGACAGTGAGGCGAAACAGTGGCGCAACGACGGCCCAACGACGACTTGATGGTGAGGCGGAGCAGCGATGACGAGAACTTCATGTCTCGGAAAGGTGCAGAGGAACGGGAAGGTGCTGGAGCGGTGAATGTTATGTGAGGGATAGTTTAGCCATTTTAATCTAATCCAGACACTTTTTTGTCCAAATTTAAACAAGGTCTTATTTTTGTCTTTCCATGTCATGGAGGTATTATTTTAGTCATTATTTCAAAATATAATACATTAAATTCGCATATTTGATTCATACGGGTTCATTGTAGATATTTAAAAAAATAAGAAAAACAAAGTGAATTACAGAGTATAAGATATGAAGCCAGATATCATGATGCTCATTATTACACTCTC